TTACACCACAACTGGTGAGGCGCATCGAATGCTCGTTTTGAACGCTCGGCTCGACTGTGCTCGTGTGCGCTCCATTCATTTCATTCAATATGTCAGACGTGGAGGTTGTGTTATCTTTGTTCCATTTAATACGCTACTCTTATCTAAAGAACTCGTGAATGCTCGTTACGACGCCGCTCGACTGACTGACTGACTTGTAATGTAACACTCAAAGGGATTCGCGAAAAAACCGACAACACGATGGAGCGCCCGCGAGCGTGAGCGGCTCGCATCGAGCGGCTCCGTTCGCTGTCTTCACTGGTGTAATGCTCGATTTGTAACACGTTACATTACAGGCAAATGTTACAAGTCAGTCGCCACCTTAAAACTACGTATTAATCCTTTTAGACTTTTGGTAAAATTCTTTGCATGGTCATCCTGACATAATGCTTTCAAATTGATGTGAAATTCATTTGCGTTTAACCAATTTTCAGTTTACTATAGCCTTTTTAAAACATAGCGTTAGTGTATTACATTCAAGATCTGTTCACAATTATGAACAAAGTTTTTAAAACATAGCGTTAGTGTATTACAGTCAAGATCTGTTAACAATTATGAACAAAGCGTGTTCACACCTAAGACTACCGATCACAGTGCCTTGTCTCTGACGTGAAGCGTGACTGTACTGTGCAATTGTCTTTGCCACAAACCAGGCTAATATCAAACTTTATTTGGAGTCGTATACTTCTGAACATTAAAAAATTACTTTTGACCTAAATAATGTGAAATGAAAATGTCATTATGTCAATCATGACTTCTCATATAAGCCTCATATTAAGAAGAGAGCCATGATTTTGTCGGCAATGACCACAAGAACTAGCCAATTAATAACGCACCAAGAACAGAAAAACAAATCACGTCTACGCCTGCAATGATGTCATGGACAAGCCCTCGTCTAGGCTATTAAAATTAATTACTTACATTTGACTACAGTCAAGACATTATATACCATCACAAAAGCTCAAATATGCAAAAACATGGCTAGCATTTTCATACAAGAAGAACAAACTAGTTTTAAAGCATTCCCCAGATCGTACGTCACGACAAACATTTTTCATCAACAACAACCAGAGTCTGGATCTCAAGACTCGACGATTCAATGCAAAAATCACGTATGTGCTGAGACTATGCACTTCCTACATTCTTCACTGAATCCGAAATATTTATGATACTATGAAGGAACTGTGTAAAACGAAAATCGATGATGTGAAAGTAGCCGGAAGTCTGGAATTATTCATAACAACGCTACAGAATCCACAAGATGCAGTGTCAACTTCGAAGGGTAGGGTAGATATTTCTGGCACGCGTCTTTAAGCTACTTGCTGCATCAGAAAGGATGGAATAATTGACTCTCGTCCAATATTTACTTGCCAAGGTTTGTTAGATTTCTGCCACTTCACAGCGACAACAGTTCTACACTCTGCAGACAGAGCCACATTTACTTTCTACTTCCAGACAACGCCTTCTTTTAAATACAATGACTTCATAACTGCGTATCAGAACAGACCTTAATACGTAAAAGGTATTCAACCCACGTGTCAAACTTTCGATAAATATTTTTAAGGTAATCAAATAAAAGGATATTAAATGGACGGGGAACGCAGAACACATAAGTGAGATGAGAAATCCTATAAAACTTTTGTCGGTAAACCTGACGGGAATGAGCAGATTAAAAAACAATGGCGCAGATGGGACGAAAATATTAACGAAATCAATTGTGTGAAATGGGTTCATATAACCCAGGACAGAAATAACAGGTTCTTGTGAACACAGCAATGAATCTTCGAGTTCCATAAATGGAGAGGAATTTCTTGAGTAGCTTAGTAAGTATTCTCAAGAAAAACTCTGCTCCATGGAGTTATAGTAGGCATTCTACACGACCCTCATTACAATCAGAGTGACTACATTTTGATAGGAGACGGCGTTGAAGGTCCGATCTTTCGGGGAAGGGGTCTGTGATACCGATCACTATCTGGCAGTATGTAAACGAGCAACGCAAAAGTCTGATATGGAGAGATTCACTCTCAAGAAACTAAACGAATTGGAAAGTAATGAACAGGGTCACGTTAAACTCCCGAACAGGTTCGTGGCTCTAGAGAACTTTGACGATGATGCGGATATCAATAGAACTTCTGAAACCATTAGAGAAAATATAAAAATTTCAGCCAAGGAGATTCGAGGCCATTACGAATTGAAGCAGCATAAGCCATTGTTCGACGAGAGATGTTTAAAACTATTCGATCAAACGGAACAAGCCAAACTGCAATGGTTACGGGATGCGAGCCAAACAAATGGAGATAATCCGAAAGACGTACGTGAAGCTTGTAAACATTTCGGGAACATTAAGAGGGAATATCTGGAAGACGAGATTAACGAGCTTGCAACACACAGCAAAAACAAGAAAATTACAGACTTGTACAGAAGTATAAATGAATTTAAGAAGGGTTACAAACCTAGAAGGAGCATGGCGAAGGATGAGAATGGTGAGGTTAAAGTTGATATTGCAAAGCTGAAAAGGTATAAATCGCCACATAACCTCCCTGCGTGAGGAGGCCAAGCTCCGTCAAGGAATGTAGAGTCACAGACAATAATAATTATTCTCCTTCATACTTTGTATTGATATACTTTGAATCTACTTGATAACTGTAATACCATAAGCAAAAAATATCGCCCTACGGCTCCTGTGTAAGGATGGGCAGACTATTCCACTGACCATTACCTCACTCCACCTTCCAACCCCTCGGTCAGTCCATTACTTTATTATTGATTTACTGTAATTTACGCTTACTGGCGAATACCGCACCGGAATTGATACTGAGGGGTGAGACGTTCTAAGTATAGTGTTAACTGCATCCACTACCAACTATCGCACATCTGTGCATTACCACGTCTAGACTACAGAGCTTCAATAATTCGTTCAAATGTACAGCACTTCCCGTGACTTTTATTAACCTGAATTCAGGGTTATCAAACTTGAAGCGACTCTTTGATAGCACAACCCCAAAGGTCAGCACCCTAATACCGAATTCTACAACATAATCCTGAGATATTCCCTCCTCACAGCCCCGGCGATGCAGGAAGTTAGTATCTTGTAGGAAGAATGTGGTTATGGGGGAAAAAACAATGTAGTATGACATTAGTGTTAGTGTTTACTGGTATGACGTCGACATTCCTGTCTGAAAGTTGTCAAGGAGATCAAACACAAGGGCAACAATCAGTTGTAAAAATTTTAAAAAGTGCTAGACTGGCGCCGAAAACGCAAAGGAACCTACGCCACAAAGAACAAATATTACCGCAGAAATTTTTCCGAGAATAAGCAAACCCGCGAACGAGGAGGGTTTGCGGAGGGCCTATTAATCTGTCATTCTTCCATCTCCTCTGTTTTAAAAGCTGCAGTTGTTCGACAAGGTAAAGCAAAGTAGCGGTTTGCAAAAAGCATAGCATCGCCCTAATTCTAGAGGCAGTACGGATCCCTGAAACGTCGGTCAACTTCCACCACACTACACGGAGCAACATCTCAGAAGACTGTCATCTTCGTTCATTTCCGCATTCAAAACAGCCTCCCACTGACTTCAATCCTGAGCCAAATAAATCCAGAATATCGAACTCCAGCAATCAAGACCGAAGCCAGTAACAAAATATTGAAACTATGGCAAATTAAGGCGCGAAAAACAAAGCTCAGCAGTACCATGGCCGCGAACCAAATGTATATTATTTTTTTTCCAAGTTAATTTATTCCATGATAAGTGTTCGCTGATAAACCCTAATCCACTTTCACCGGTACTGATTCTATATTTGAACCACTGGCACTGGCTGCCTGGGAATTTTTTTTATTTGTATCGCTGCCCGCTTGAATGCACATGAACTTTATGTTACTCGATTAGTGAATATCGATTATAACCCATGAACGGCAAAGTAGAAGGTAAATGCTCCCGTTTGCCAAACGCAGAGCAGATACAGTGACGATTCGCACTACTGCAAAATTTCCAGAGACGCCTCGTATTCTTGAAACACGGTCCTGCACGTCAGTGTTCATGACATCCCACAATGCGGTTGTAACTCCAAAGCCTCAGAATGGTATCCACGCGATTTTCAAATAAATAAAATCTTTTAACTGCGGAGTTTCAGATAATGCCCATTAGCCTCACTTTTTAACACGCGTAACATACGATTACAAAAAAATGGCCGATGACTTACTTAAGTAAACATCAAGATTTTTATTTTAGCAGTTTGTTTGTCGAGTTAATGCATTTACTTGGAATGAGTTAAAATTTAAATATATTAGAGGAGGTAGGGATTGGATCGTATTTCGAATAAGTTTCTTGACAGCTAGGTTTTCCTTGTACTAGGCACGAGGGTAATGGGGGGGGGGGGCCTTCATCAGTCCAACGACGCTGACATATCCCCTGAGCCTCGTGAAATCACAGAACTCTTCAGAAGATTACCTTGAGAATAAATAGATGTATGTAAGTAGGGCCAGGGCTCGTTAAAACATGACGCTGTGCTTATAGAAGTTTTCGCCTACACGTAATAATGACTAACACTGACAACGTTTGGTATTACACACTACGTCACCAAGATTCATTCCTATAACATTTTATAACACTTGCATCAAGATGTATTTCTTCCTGAAGCGTTTAAGGCCAAGATTCTAAAGCCAATGCACAAAATCGGTGGTGATGATACAAGCCGTTCTACAGAAAAATGCTCCTGAAGCGTTTAAGGCCAAGATTCTATAGCCAATGCACAAAATCAAGCCGTTCTACAGAAAAATGACGATTTATTATTACAAGACGTTTCTGTCAGTCGAATTTCAGAGCAAGTTGAGAAAAGTGAAAACAAAAACGTCGACAGAATATATGAGATGACAGTCATGTGTCTATTACATATCAACATGTCCTTATCTTGGCAGCTAGAAAATACCATGATCATAGTAATGAATTTCAAAAGATTCATCTTACCTCTTGCTGATAATTTCTTGGTGTTGATTATCTTGGCTGCAAACTCCAAGCCTGTGGATTTTTGTACACATCTTCGCACCACTGAGAAAGCACCCCTAGAAAAAAATAACATTAATGTCAGCAAAATAACTGTTTGATTGGCACACCTGCTACACACAATTCTCAAATGTTTATGCATCGATAATTCACCTGTTACCTTCGAGATAAAAGAAAGAAGGTACACAAAAGATCAGTATTTTACCTAAGATATTAATTCGAAATTTAATTTTCACAATTTGATATCCTCAACAAACACCTCTCCCTGCGTATCATATCGGTCAAAAACAAATTAAGGAACGGACGCATAGCGAACAACAATTTTTAACAAAAGTCCCTAATACCAAATTTTATAGAAATATGTTCAGCGATTCTCGACATAACAGACACACGTAGTGAAGCCAATAAGCTTAATTTTTTGTAACTTTACATTTGTAAAGCGGAAGAAATTGAGATTCTTCGATTAATAAAGGCAAATGCTTCTCTAGAACTTCAAAACAGACAACTACTGTTATGAAGATATACCCCATAACCTATAGGGCGTTAAAATGTGAAATTCAGCCGTTTTTGGAAATATGCGAAGAAAAATTTAACTTCCATAATCTAAAACGGAGGAAAATATAATCAAATATCAGGAGTAAAGAACACTGTTTTCACGCTCAAAGAAAATAACATGAGAGACGGCAAAATGTAAAGAAAACACGCCAATTTCTCTTAATCCCTTGTTATATTACGGTCTGAACTTCAACTCTTGATACGATACCTCGTTCTTCTGCCGGGAGTTTATCCAATTCCCAGCTCAAATTCACTGCGTTCTTCAATCCAACGACTTGCACTACGGCAACGGAAAACGGAGTTAACCTCTCGACCTCATTTATATCTAACTAGTACAGAACTTACTTCCAAAGACGCTGATTAGTTTTAACTCATGTTCCCATAAATTCAACGTAAAATAACCGGGTATGCCACAGCACTCTGCAAATCTTTTGAATCTGATTTCTTCGAATAAAAAGTGTTATAAAAACCAAACCCATAATATAGTTCCGGCAATAAGACACCGGTTTCTTCACGCAGAAGCTCAGGTTCGATCTCACTTCGGTTAATGCAAGAATTCTGGATTGATAAAACGGCAATGAGACAGATCTCTCTCCGGGATCTTCAGCTTTTCGCTTGCTATTATGAATTGTGAATGCAAAGTGAACCCTTGTCATCGCGACACGGCGCGTCGACAGGTTACGAATGGAGGAATAATATACAATCATGGACAGCCGACAAGGGACGGTCTTCCAGATTCGGGGTTGAGCGAGAGGCTACGTTGGGCTTCAGATTTGCGGGCTCTTTTAAACACGGTAATGAACATTCTTCATTCCATATAAGGCGGGGGATTTATTGACTAGTTGAGCGTACTATCAGCTTCTCAATACGGACTCGACTCCGTGAAGTTAGTTACTTTTTCTTGATTCTACAAATCCTTACATTAATCTGTCACTGCCCGTGATGCATGTGACAGGCATGACCTCCCTCAGAGCTGATTACAAGTTATTACACTTAACAGGAAATGAAGTACGAAAATCGAATTTTAAATTACATGCGAAACAGTCGGTAAAAAACACATCTAGTCCTAAGAGAAATAAAATAAGCAAAGAATGTAAAAGAATAAATGACAAAGAAGGTTTATTGCTATTACGTGTATTATAAAAAGCATATTAAGCCTTGTACTCTATAACTCAGACGCGCACACGTAACGTCTTCGGAAGTCGTATATCAGTGCAAAGATAGAAGACTGCATTATAATGAATGATTAGGGCTGAAGTGACTTGGGGTCCAGTTCGACGCCATTATGGTATATTGTATTATATAAACGACATGGAAACAAGATTCCCGTTTGGAAAGTGTTCTTTTCGCAGCTCAGTACAGAAGAATAGCTGGTCCTGTGCCAAATATCATAATCCCAGTATTCTCTGAACGTAAGGGGATTAAAACTACAAAAAGAAATATATCCTGCAATAGTATTCCATGTTACCTAAATATGCGTTCGAAATTCCTATACATTATCTCGCCTTTATTAGAAACCATGAAACATTGCTCGAGTATTACGCTAATTTCTGTGTCTTAGTTGTGCGAACTTGAAGGGAAGTGACGCAGGTCTTTGGTCCTAAGCGGAAGACCTCTGCTCGAGAGGTAGGACATGTGAAATGTCTATTCTGCCCTACATTCTCAAAACAAACTGGTATAGAGAACAACAAACTATACCGTAGGTCTGGGATTTCAAATGCAACGAGAGGGTGCGGAAGGAAAAGAACAGAAACTGAACGGGTGCAGAGAAGGCGTTATAAAAGGATTATTTTCCATGTTCGGAGAGAAAGAAGACGCTACACATATTACTTTAGACTGCTGTAAAACGATGGGAAATAGGGCAAATTAAAACGCAAGACATGACTGAAGTGTCACGAAGAAACTGGGAGAATAAATTTTACCTGAAAGACTGGAAAATATTTAATGTAGGAGACAAAATGGAGAGTAGGAGTATAAAAACCAATACATGTTTTGTGGAAATATAATTCTTCGTCGACTAGGTAATGATGCCGTGGGCGATCTTGTAGTAGGCGGTTACTAAGTCGAGGCGATACGTTCTTCCGAGACGTCGGTAACAATCAACAAGACCACACGGCGTCATAAACCAGTAGAGCACAATCGACGTCTTCACCGCCGTGAAAACCTCAGCGCAAGGACAGAAATTTCCTGGCCATTACTTTAGTTAGATCACAATAGGTCGAACGGTTTAAGTTTGCTGGAAATCTGACAAGCTATTACCATGGCTCTCTAGTCAAGCCGAGGTGGTCCAATACGGTGCCCAGGCGCCTTATTTTTTGAGTGCCATGGCGTCGCCTTGACAATTCCTAAAAAAATTTGTAATGTCAAATACCGGCGGCATATCCTAAGGACAAGGGTGGCTGTAAGTGTCCACTTAAAATGCAATCTAGAGAGTATGTCACTCTAGAAACTAAAAACAAAAAGTGCGTGGTATAAAAGGCAGAGTGCATACGAAATTATTTTATCTCGTATTAAAATTCTCCACATCTGGTATATTTGTGGGTTGTTGCGGTTTGATTATACATTTAAAAGTGTAAAGATTTCTTTAAGTAACAACGAGAATGGCCTCAAATTATGATTCGCGCTTATTTCTTTCAACTTTAAACTACGTGCCAGGTCACTCGAGACAACACTCCTTGGCAATGGGCACTTAGACACGCCCCTGAATGTTGCCTTCCAACATTCAAAAGCATGCCTTCACCTGCGTGTTAAGATTAAGTCTATACGAGAGAAACGTTGTCATTTCATCCAAGGACAACATCTGGAAGCCAAGACGTGTTTGATAGGACTACTCTTCCTATATAGCCAGTAATAATTTTATAAAGCTAAGCTCGTCACACATGGGAAAAGCGAAGAACGGTAGAGACAGAATTGCAGAAAATTGCCGTTGCACAGATTGGTTTAGTGGCCTCAGTCCTGATGATATTGAGCTGGACACTGCTAACCGCCCAGGCCGACCTTTCCGTCAAGCACAGAACACCCCCTGGGGGAGGTATTTGGAGCACTCGACTAGATGGAGCACGCACAAACACACAAACACATGCACGCACGCACATCCCCTTCCGAACCGCCCCTCGAAGGACAACAAATGTCACGTGAGGGCAGAATGGTACGCTGGCATGAACACGAAGGGACACGGAGTATTAACATCACCTCGCAATTAATTAATTAGGTATTTATCGCGGATCAACTTTGCTTTAGGATACGCCATTATGATTGTTTCTTCATTTTTTGCTCTGTGTTAATATTGTTTCTATTTTGGGTTTGCCTGTACTTGGCAGTTACATTTAATACTGTACATGTATAAGTTTAGTTAATCTGTTTGTGTATTATTTTTCATTATTATTGTATGTATTATCAGTGTTTGCCTGTTATTGGCTTCTTGCTGTTGGCAAACACGTAAATAAATTAATTGAATTGAATTGAAAACAAACAGGGTTTCGAATTTATGAAAGACGCTGGCTTTCGTCTATGCTGAAGATGTTAAGCGGGCAAAAACTTAAATATCTTAAAGAATAGAACGTAAGTACTATTACATGCTAGTAAGGAAGTCGATCAACAGATAAAACAAGGAAAAAATAAGAGTTTGTTTCATGTCACTTAACTAGACGTGCCAACATAATAATATTGTAGATAATAAATCCTTCAAATTTCTGCAAATTCAGATACTCAGCGACGAACATAAAAGATCGAATTTACATTAATGAAGATGCTGAGATCAGATTAAATTCAGAATCTTTTTTCTTTTCCATAAAATACCTAAAAACCTAAATATTAAAATATATAAAACCATAATTTTAACTGTTGTTTTGAATGGCTGTGCAATTTGATCTCTGACATTACGGAAGAAACAGACAAGGTTTGATAACAGAGAGTTGAAGATAATATTTGGACGCAAGAGGGAAGAAGTAACAAGAGGCTGGAAAAAATTACATAATGAAACTCAGTAACTTATATTCTTCATTAAATATTACTAAATAAAATCAACGAGAAGGGCATGGAAGTTGTGAGAAACGGGTACACAATTTTTGTTAGAAACCCTGAAGGGAAGAGACCATTCGAAAGACCTGCGCGTAGATGAGAGGATAATATTAAAATGGGTCTTAATAAACTAAGGTGAGAAGTAATGAACTGGATTCATGTGGCTCGGGATATGAATAGGTGACGGACTCTTGTGAAAACGGTAATGATACTTCAGGTTCCAGGCGAAAATTTTCTTGGCCAGTTTGGCAACTATTCGCTTCCCAAGGACTATGCTCCATGTGGTTAGTTACTTTTAAACTGTGATGCAGTAAATAAATCGGCCTTCATACAGTTTTGTTGATTTTGAATGTTACGTTGTGAAAATTCAAGTCCTGATGCTAATGGTACATTTGGCTTGTTCCTCGAGGTTAGGGATACCTCAATCCTTTTATGATTTCTAACCCACGGAGAGAGGCAAGATGGTCAATAAAAGACACATAGA